CAGTTTTCTGGATTTTGTACGGAAAAATAATTAAAGATTGTCAAAACTGGATAAAATGCAACAGAGTTAATGTCACCAATAGATGGCTCGTGGTTTTGTGGTTCACTTTGCATTACTTGTTTTTTAGTCATACAAAACAGGCAATGTTAAAAAATTGTTTTTCAAAATTAACTGCGACATTATAACCGTTAGTACAGCGATCATCGTTGGTAAAATTAACATGTGTTCAAAGATATCCCTTATTTGAGTAGCGACCGTGCAAAGAGGTAAAAACGTACCCAAAAATTTCGACTTAGGCGTGGCTAATGACGAAGGCCATCACAGTAGACTGATTTTCCTGTTTGAATAGCTGAAGTAACTAAAAAACAACGTATAGTTCTTTGTTTCTGATGGCTTCGCACAGGTCTTCGACAGAAGTTAAGCGCAAGAAAAATGTTCGCAGCCTGGTCATTAAAACTTCACAACTTAAATAATTCACACACCCACAAGGTGGTCCAAATAACACGGAATCAAGTCATAAAATAGTCATAATTGGGCCTTGTTATTGCTGTGTGGCATTCAATTAAATTTTTTTTTCTAAAAAAGCCCACGGTGTGTAAAAGCATTTTTGTTTCTTTACTGATTGGTAACTTAACAAGACTTCTGTGTCTCTGGTAAAATGAGCCATAAAGACTGTTAGTGCAATCGGAAACCCTCAATTGCGATTCACAGCAACTAGACGCTTATAAAACCCAGACGCCAATCATAAAGCTTTCCGGTGAGTGGTTAATTTTTGTGAAATACTTAGCTTAGAAACACGGGATTTTGGGGTTGTGGTTGAGGAAAGATGCTGGCTTTCTATGTTATGTGTCCAAGTGGACTAAATTAATGAGGTTTCTGATTTTTCAAATTAATTTTTATATTTTAAGTAGTAAATTTTTAGTGTACTTTGATCAGAGATTGTTTGCAATTGCTAGGGTCGAGGTAGTTGATGAATTCAGGTGTTGCGCCGATTTGCTCTCTTGTACCTAAAAAGGCATATGCCCGAGTTCTCGGAACATTCGATAATTTTCTTTCTGCAAACTTTTAGCGTGTTAGAGCAAAGCCATGGCAATTACAATTCTTTCTGACTAGACAAGAAGTTGTCAATGCCCAAAGTGTTTAAAAAGAGGCTAAAGTGCAAATGGGTGATTTACTTTCTAGTGCCTACCACATCAAATTTATCATTGCCTTGTCATGTGTCATACCGGTTATGTAGGATGTATTAGTTGACCTGAGTATTGATTGTGCCGGATATACAACAAAACCATGACCAACTCGAATGTGTTTAACATGCACGTAAATGCTAAGCGGCACAAGACTGAACATGCGAGGGGTTTAGTCAGCACAGATGATAATGATTCAAGTCGGTGTTAGGGATTGGAGATTGGGCGACAGATGGATTCGATTAAACCGATAACTGCCGCAGGATAATTGCGGAACGTGTGAACTCACGTACCTTGCTGCAATCGTACTGGTCTTTAAAAAACGTTAACTTTTGCAAAGATGTGCGCCGTTTTTACAATATTTTACAAGTTTTTAGAAGCTATACTCACTGGTAATTTCAGCTAAAAGGGCATTTTGAAAAATTCGTTTGCATTTTTTCTTTACTAGCCTAAAGACGATCGTAAAGGCCTACTCTGACTCCAACAGTTTAGTAAGAGAAATAGCGGTTTCAATCATTCCAATACAGAAATATGCATAAAATTTTGCACCCTCAAATTCAACCTCAAGTAAAAAGTCGGGGTTAAAAGGTAAGCAGCATAAAGAAATGCCCGCACCGAGTTTCTCTGTCAATTTACCGCCAGAGGTTAGGTAGAAATAGAGAAAACTTCAAATGCCTTTTCAAATTAAGGTTAATTTTCTAGATTGGGCTGTCAGACAGAAGGCAGCGACTCTGTGGAGTATACCTATGTTAAATAAAGAGCCCTTTTAGACAGCTTTGCCGAATTTTAAATCAGTGATAAATAAAGGCACCAAAAAGTGGTTAAAATAGATATTTAATCCCCATTTAAAAGCTATTTCTAGTACAAAAAATGCAGATAAAAAGCTAAGAAGGGTTACAACCCTGCTAGTCGACAGTCCGTAACAGCCCGAGAAGAAAGGCCAAACAGATGATAGAAAATACAATGATTTACTTGCACTTGACCACCCAAGTCCTTTTATAGCAGAGCACGTGAGGGAATATCGGACGTCAACTGTTATCGAAAATCGATGAAATTCGATCAACTCGTGTTTAGGCTTCACTCACGCCTGTTTAATGAAAATTCACCACAGACCATTCTAGGTTCTTCTAATACAAATTGTTGCTTTGTTAAGCTGTTTACTAGAGACGGAAGTTGACTTAAGATAAAATTCCGTCTTATTAATAGGATTTATTAACGATGCGAGTCATTTGTAAGTGATCCAAATTGCGATTCACTTCCTGTGGATTTTTAAAATCTGAGGCCAAGATTAAAATATGTGTTGTGAAATGCACTGGCACAAATCAATATTCATTTTGGCAAGGGTGGTGAAGAATGTTTGGGACAATATTTCACCAAGCTTGTCGATCGCATCTGGTTCTTAATTATGCCCTAGGCTGACAGTGTGTGCAGGTACGCACCTTAAGAAATCCCAATGAACTGCATACCTTGAATTCTTGATCAAGTAATGTCATGTTAACCATGAGAGGGCTTACTTTTATAATCGTCTTACCTTCTCTACTCTTATCCAGAATTAATTGATTCCCAGGTTCAGTTCATCATGGAAAAGGTCCAATTTTTGGTGTGATAGCCATCAAGCCATGACCTTGCATTAATGATTAGATTACACTGCTAGGCGCCACATGATATCTACAGATTTTTCATATTTCCTTTGACTTTAAAGCGCAGATTATCGATGGTTATGTTCAAAAAAACAGCCACCTCCTGCTTACCTTCCTCCGACAAGCGTATACTGTCATGATAATTTTGCTACAATCACTGGACCTAGTCTTGACAAAATTATGTCAACGCAGTTGCCACAACAACCCAACTTACACCTCACATGTATTGAATAACATAGAAACAAACATCCCAACGTCTCGATCTCCCTCGCCGTGTGTTTGGTAGTTTTTGACGTTTTCGTGTCCCCTTTATTCTGCACATGTCCAATCCACTTAAATGTCTCACTTCATCAACACTATGCTGTCTTCCGAAGTTAACAAAAGACCTTGTCAGCCCCGTCAGCCCAGCCTTGTACCAACCATCTGATTCTGTAAATTGTCACTTTGCAGCAAAATTACCTGACGCCAAAATGTAGTCAAGTTGTAGGAAAAACTTTGCTGTAAAGAGTGCTAGATACAAGCCTGTTCACCACGTTTTGTTTCAAATAGGATGGGAAATGCGCTTTACTGCTCCAGCCAAACTCAGACGTGGCCTCACCTAGGACTCCAAGTGGTGCAAAATCCCCCTAAATTTCAAATCCATGTAACTCGTGATTCATTCCGATACACTAGAATTGCGTGTTCAGAAGGGCAACTTTTTTTTAATGAAAACACCTTAGTCTTTGTTTTTGCAGAACAATAGAAAAAGACCACAATTAATGTCTTATTTCTTCAAAGGAGATGCTTGCAATGGCGTCTATTAATGCAGACGTCCTAAAAGCGTTTAGCATTCTCAAGGGACATCGGTTCATGGTAAATTTTTAATGACCACCTGATAGCTGTTTGATTTTGCCACAAATACGTTGCCTCTGTTTGGCAGTGTTCAAAGGGAGTGCTTTTAGACCATCCCGACGTTAACCTCCAGAAACCAAGATAAGCGCAGAGGCTTTCCTGGAAGTCTACTTACAAGTAAATCAGCAGATGAAAAGCCTTTTTTTAGGATAGGCAATCTTAGCCCGTTCTGTGGGAATGTTGTTTTGCATTAATAAGTGGAACAATTATTTATAATTCCTGACACATTTTATTAATGTTTCTGTCGTCTGTGGTAGCATTTCGGAGAAGTTCGAGATGTTTTGAAGTTATTTCCACAACCGACAACACCAACAAACAAAGACCTAGTCAGCGAACCATTTTTTGAATGATGTAATAGTTCGTGGTGCATAATATTAAACTAGTTGTGCTGGTGTAACAGTAAATGCCGAAACAACTTTGTTTGGTTTCATTTGACTTCTCTTTGAAAAACCCGAGATAAATTCTAAGCAAGAGCAACAATCTATGCAGAAACTGACTCACCTTTGTCAAATACCAAAGACAGGCAATTGATCCAAATTCACGAAAATGTGTTCAAGCCTTTGTTTTCCTTGTCAGCTGTCTCCAGTAGTGAAATGACCAATTCTAATCAATTTTACCTTGTACACAAAAGTACAATTATTGTGTTCCTGTTTGGCTATCTTAACAATTTCGCTAGAATTGTAGCGTGCTGGGCGATGGGAACTACTTCGGTCTTATAATGCTTAGCAGCAAATTGCAGATTTAATAAACAAGTGTCTTCAATATGCCTGCATTTCTTTCACACAACTGTTATTTAGATGCTAAAATTTTGCGATTTGGTTCAACTAGCCGTATAGTGCAGATTTATTTGCTAAAACTTGCTTCCTTTCTGTTGCAAATACATGCGATTTTTTAAACAACTTGATTCGTCATGTGCAACAAAAAATGATTGGAAGCTTCTGTGGCAATTCAAGCAGTAAACGAGAGGTCTCACATTGTACACCACCACATGAACACTACTTTGATGCATGGACGTATAAAATTCTGTCATTTTTGTCAAATACTACTGTTAGGTCATGAACAAAGTGAGCATGTTAGATGTTTACTTCGTAGGGCTTTGAATAGCGGTTGCTGTAGCTTGTTAAAAATAACGCGATGTGGGATATGGGTATTGTGTTATGCAGCGGTTTTGAATCGGGATTGGCTGGGGTTAGCATGCTGGTAATCGCACTCAACCTGTAGTTATTACTTTACCTAATTTTCCAACTTAATCGTCTTCTTGGCACGACCTTGGTTTTTTGATGTAATGATATCTGCTGAATTATTGCAAATGGTGTAGACACAGCATCCCGTCACATTTAATTAAAGGTCAACGAATGTGCGGGGTCGAATTTCCAATTTTTGGCGTCAAGCCGCCACGGCCGCCCTAAGGCACCAAAAGCAGACGGAGTTGGCCTTGGAAGCAGCAAATCAGCAGTCTTCATCGTCGTCCCCATCGCCGCATCTCTTCAACTCAGAGGAGGTGGCTGCTCGGCGGACTCTGGCCACCATTTTCGGACGGTCCTGGCCAAAGGTCCAGCAGGTTACCTGCTGGCAGCATTCCTTCAAAGACCTTTTGGAGGACAAGCGTAAGCACAAAATGCTCTGTTATCAAGAGATCTCCGTAATTGGAACTAAATGGCTTGTCCAACCTTGCTTAACACTGCCTATTTGAGCATGGAATAATGTGGCAAACTTTTCTCCACTCCAATTTGCTGTGCGCACTGCTTTTATAATGCATGATTGGAAGTGAAAGCGGAAAATGTTCATTAAGCCCACTTCTATCTTACATGATTTACACTTTGCTGAAGAACGCTACGTAAATTCGACTTGGATGCCAATTATGTTTTTACCTAGAGATTCATGTGTCAACCTACAAAATTTCCTAGGGCTGCTTCTTCATCTTTAAATCGAAGCATACTGAACACTTCCTGTTATAGACACGGAGGCTAATAACTTGTGACCCTTTTTTTCTAAAATCACTGTTACTAATTAAGGGCGTGATGGAGGTCAATTCGAGATTGCTGCTGGTGGTTTTTTTGCCATCTCAAACTGATTCTGCCTTGTTTTGAACTAACCTTATGCTCAGAGAGGAATAGAATAAAAAAGTACAGTTGATTCAACTTCTTGGCGTGATTTTGCACCCCTATTTTACATTCGCCAACACAATTAAAATCATCACGATTTATTTTTGCCGTCAGTGAGCCAGACGACCCGTACGTGCGCAATAACCTTTTGAGTAAAAGTGACTTAACTCTCGGAATGAATAATGCAGATTTTAATAAGCTAAGAGGGCACTCCAAAGGAAGATGCCACCTTATTCTAGCTTTGATGTCTTATTGTCTACCATCTGATGGTAAATACGTTCATTTTAGTTAGTCAAAAGCCAACTGAAATTGTCGAGTAAAAAGGAAGCTGACGATGGGCTAGAAATGTTTGATTTTTAAAGGCGTCGAAAAAATTGCTTGTGGAAACACAGTGTGAAATTACGTTGTGGACTTTGGTTGAGGAAATATGAACGTGCTGGATAAAATATGAATCAGGCCGCTAATTAACTTTGATGATGTCGCAGGTGAGAAAGCAGCATTTGACAAAACACCCATAAGCTGACGATTCGCAAATTCCACACTGTGACCAAGCGTGAGCCACTGATCGACGACGCGATTTGCTTAGTTGTGATTGCAAACATATACACTGGTTTTTGTAGTTAATTCTATCGTTAAGTAATTCATACTGCTGTATTTGTCAAATTACAGCCGTATTTAAGAGCCCACGCATTAATATTATACTTGCTTAAGTAAGTTGATTAGTTTGTATCGCTGAATTACTATTTGCGCTAATTCTACTTTCCCTATTGCCGTGTTTATTCCAAAATACTGAAATTGTAATCAAAGTAGTAATGCTATGTGGTCATAGTTGCATGGTAACCGAAAAGCACGAGTTTCAATACTCCTGGAGTCCACTATTTTCTAATTGCAAGCATTTTCAATATTAGCGCGTTTGCTGGGCTAGGCCTTCCTTGGTGCTGGCAAATGTGTTTTTTATGAAGTCCATCGTAAGCAGCACGAAGCAGTCTCTAGGATCCCATTTCCTAAAGCTGCTTTTCCCCACGTGTAAGTGGATGGCGCAGGTATTCTTAAAACTAGTTAACCCAGTGATCTTTGTTGCGTGGTTTTCTTATAACGCCTGCCAAGGAAGGCAGCGTCAGGTCTCCAAGTCAAAGTATTTCCAACTAACATGTCAAGTAACTGTAGATGTCAAATGAGGACGCGATTAATAGGTACACGGAAACGTGTACTTGCCTGGCTAGCCCCTCTTAGCCCTAGCTGTATCGCTGTCTACGTTGAAGCCTTCAAGACAGTCACTAAATGAGCGAGTTAGTAACTATTGGCAGAACCAGTTTATAATAAATGAAGCTCCAGAACTTGATTCAGTCAAGCATTTGGCATGCACAATTCGACAGCTCACCGTGTTGTTTTACTAACCCAACCAAACATTAATAAATTGGCTTTGTCGCAACTGAAACAGCCTCAGTGCACATCAAGGCAAGTCCTGGAATGTTGTTAAGGGAATTCGTAGCACCAAAATGAAACCAGGTTCGTTCAAATAGGCTGAATGTGACTTAAATAGCAGCTCTGGAAAGTATACATAATTTCGTCCCACTTTTTTTCAGATCTCATTGTAGTACTGGTCACATTTAGTACCTTGGATTTCCCTAGGATACACGAATCCGGGTTGAATAATGCTTTCACTTAATCGTTGTTGCAGCGGGATGTGGCGAACTCCCACATTGAGCAGTTTGCTTCCGTTGTAGACGGCCTTTTAGTCTTTCGTGAGTTCCTACGAGGCGAATTCAGTGACGAGAATCTGGAATTTTGGATTGCATGCAAAGAGTACAAGGCCCTCACGGACGAATGCGATCAACGAACGAGGGCCCAAGAGATCTACGAGGATTTCATCGCATACCAGTCACAGCGAGAGGTGAGTCTCAATCGACCTACAGCATTTCCTGGCTTCGACATCCCTTGATGGCCTCATGCATTATGACAACTGCGAATAGGCACTCAGATGCTTGAGCCGAGGAGTTTTGATTTGTTGCGTTATGAATAAATCATGGGACTTGTGAAAACAAGCGTAGGCATGTTCCTCGCTTCCAGTTTCCTCGGCTTGTTGCCGATGTGTTGGATTTATTACTCAAATCCGTGCATTAGTTTACCAAATTAATAATCTTACTTATGCGTTCTTGCGAAGTTTTTCAAACTGTAGACACTTGGGCTCATTGCCACGTAATTTAAAGCAAATCATTGTTCTTGAGAAAGACTTTAGATATCTTGCTTGATGTAGGATTCAGCGGAATGTTTGGGCTTATTTAGGTGTAACCTTCACTTTAAACCAATTTCGCATCAGTTTAATTTTTGTCTTTGCTGTATCGTGTAACTTTGCAGAAATGCTAACGAAAATGTGCTGGAACAGGATTGACCAGATGCAATAAAATATACACTCGCCTTAAGTCCACTTTCTATCCATTAGACCTCACAACCAAATATTTATCCACATTAACATTAGACCCTTTCGAACTGAAGTTCGGATTATGGCATTGGGATGGCTAATGCGGAACAAGGCAGCACTTTAGGCACCATAAAACTGGAGGCTTCTGCGCCACAAACCACTGATTTATGGTTAACGGCCTTCACGTCAGTTTCTACTTTGGGCGTCTTGGGGTAAATGGCTTGCCAGGAGTAGAATTCTAGCAATAGTGGGAATCTAGTAAATCGTTCTCGTAAATTCTCATGCCCATTCACTTCAGTCTAAGCCATTTGTGTGCCTCTAATATGCAAAGTTGATCTCTTGCAATAGGTGTGTGTTTTAGGTGAACCTCGACTGTGAAACGCGAATGCAAACTGAACGGCGATTACCCAGGGCAGAGTCAGACCTCTTTGACGCAAGCCAGAAGCGAATTGAAGCACTGATGGAAAAGGATCCCTATCGACGGTTCCTACGCTCAACCATATTTCTCAAACTTCTCGAAATCTGTGAAAAGGAGGCTGCGAGTGTTCAAGAAGACGAGCCAAACCCTAATTCGCGGTCTAGCACATTCAGCCAAAATGCGGAGTCGGGAATAATTTATCAGAACGCGTCCAGCCAATCAAAACGCCAGCCATCGAGAACCAGCCGCTCGGTTGATCTTGGAGACCTGAGAATTGTTGTCGAAAAAGTAACTAATTCTTGACGCAGTGTGCGCCACGACCACTTTTCTTTCACTGTAAATAACTTTTAAAATTTCATTCCTCGTTTATGTAAAAAAAATCGAACGACAGATGTGTATAGAAGTGATGTGTGAATACTTTCGTAAAAATACAAGTCCCCTATTTTGTATATCAAACAATTTTTTTATGTAGAAGTCTAATGTTTCATACAGTCCTTAACGAAAGCTAATCGCAGCCTCTTAGTAGCAGCAAAATTTTATAAACAAGTTTAAAAGACTTTGCCGACACTGCACCAAAGGGGTGTAAAGAACAGTTGCTTAGGTTGTCCGAAACAGAGCAATAATAAACCACTTGCGTATAACCGGACAAACTTAAGCCTCCAGTTTCCAACGCACTTACCATGGAAATGAAATAGGAATACCGCATTTACATAATTTATCTTATCAGTGCATCCCAAAAGCAGTAATGTTTTGGATTGTGGCAATTTTTATGGGGGCAGAATTCATGTTATTGATGCATAAAACGAAACATTTCACATAGCCTTAGAATAACGCAGGTTTGGCATTTTAAGCACCTTTTAGACGCAAGAAGGGAACTTACGCAACAAATGAGATCGGCCGACTTCGCGGGTCTCGTTGACCGTGGACACATGGTTTGGCTAAAGTTTTTCACTAAGTCATACAGTAATCTCCGTTGTTTCCCAATGAATGCGATCAGGACGCCCAGTTGTGCGTGTAGATTGCGAAACTAATATAAATCCGCGTATTCGATCAAGTCTCAGATCATTAAAGAATGAAATGCGAAAGCGCATTTTATTAGCTGGCAAGTGGTACAGCTCTGTTCATTTAAGGTTGTGCTTAATTTGTCAGGTTGTGAATCAAAAATCGACGCCTTCACCTGAGTCCCGAAAACGGTTCTGAAAATAAACGTTATTAATTTTGTAACTGTTTTTTGTGTTTTGGAGTCGCGATCCTGTTACACGACTCCGATTGCGTACAAACTCTGCAAAACAGCAGATCCATCATCGTGATAAAGCCAATTTTAACTAATACTGAGTGGCAGTTTTAGTCTTAGCAGCTGGAAATCTGACTGTAATGCCTTCGATGAGTTCAGAGTTCTTGTGATCTGTCAGCCAAAACGATGTTCGTAAATCGATCTCAAATTGGCATTTGATCCACTAGTAACCCCACAAGTGTCGCTCACAGCACTTTCGCTTTTTTTCCTTTAAGCTGTTACATAATTAGGTATCATTAAACTAGCTCCTTATGGTAGCAGGTTTTTTTTAAAATGGCTCATAGCGTTTTCGTGAACATTCAACTGCACCCGTCCCGGGCTTAACACGGCTATATTTCTTTGTAAACTGTTGGTGCCGGTGACTGTTAGTGTGCGCGTTTGGTTCGACAACCAAGACTTCAAAATGGCATCCCTGGAAGGCCTAAATAAGTTAATTCGCTAAAGAGCTTAATTTTACCAGTAAAATCACAGCATTATCCGCGGGCTTTTCGAGGTGTTTAAATATGACGCTTTTTTTCAACGCCACAAATCCAATATATGCTCTGTCAACGAACTTTCACATTTGAACCTTGCCACAAAAAAAAACAAAAATGCGTTCCGTTGAGCAATATTTTGATCCGAAGTCTGCGTTAATGCCCATAGGGTTTGGTCCGTTTACCCTCATAATTTGATTGATTCGAAGACTAACTCACATTGAAGTAAATATCGATAGTTTCAGTTGATTTAAACCCTTTTTGAGAGGCGAAAGGGAAGCACGTAGAGCAAGTAGAGACTTCGCATATTTTAAGTGTTTGAAAGCCATGTGAAAGTATGAGAATGTGGCTGTAGCATTTGGGACTTCAACTAAGTATTCTGGTTTTCTCCGTTTGAAAGGCATGTAGTTTTTTTAATTAGGAGCTTATGTGTAGTTGGTTACTTTAGCAACGGAAAACGATGAGTTAGACATGAGCCAAATCATTCAAAACTAATTCTACACCCCCTTTTTACCAAGTATGCTGTAGATCAACAGATCAGGTGACAGATCACTTTTCCGTTGTCATCCAAGAACCATAGAACTGAGGAAGCGATAGGCGGCTTCTTTACCTGAGGGTGGGGGCATGATGAATCACTATGTACTTGTGAGCAGAGCCCAATTAAAAGCAGAGGTGAGTCATGGATTTCAGTTAGCCTGAGTTCAGCGGGTTCCGACAGACTTTAATTCATGAAAGTCTGCTAAAGGTACATCACAAATCCATAATTCGATATCTTAATGTAGATCTTCAGCGCAAGCAAATAATCCAAAATATTATGGAACGGCAATTTACCACCATCACAAATTACTAAACATGGATTTACTATGGGATTTAATGTCGGTATAGGCTGTACCTCTAGTAGATTGCGTCACTAAATCAGTCTATCCTTTGTGTGCTTAATGGCCTATGTGAATGATCAACAGCCAACAAGAGACAAGAATAGATTAGAGGTACTTACATAATAAACAGGTGCAGTTAATTTGGTGGACGAGGATGGACAGGTGTTGATGAATGTCAAAAAAGCCCGTCTTGTTGCAATTGTCTCCTTTCATGCACGTGCTCGGATCCTCTCCATGGACAGTCAGCCTTAGCATCAACTGTGAAGGTAATGATAGCCATGCCTGACCCACTGACAAAATAGACTCTTTCTTTTGCGAAAAATTTGTCATTTCCAATTCTTCGACAAAACATACTTGCTATGATTCTGATTAAAGGTTCTCTAGGTGATGAAGTCTTTGTCAAGCATGTCTGGAAAATACGTCGTTTATTACCCTGTACTTCTAAAATGGATGTAGCTATTTGAGTTACTTCACAAGCACCATGTCTTAATACTTGTTCAGACTTCCAGCCTCTCTATCTTGGCATTTCCTCAAGTACTCCTGATCTCACATCCTTTGTGTTTGAGACTTATGTGTGTGCTGAGGCCCATGTAAGTGCGTGTGAAATATGCAACATTTTGTGAAAAAACTACAATTTTCGTTGATGCTAGCGCACAGAAATGCAAGATGTTGAATCGGGTCTGATTTCATCCAAAAAGACAATGGTGACTAACGAATATCCCTGCAAGTGGTATTGAACCTTGCCGGGTACAGTTTTGCCTGTGTGCGCTACTCAAATACGCGATTTGGCAATCAGGATACCAGAAATGGCAGAGACACGACCGTTTACCAGACGGCACCGACAAGTTGCGCAGTGAGTGCGTGCGTGAGTGCGTGCGTGCCTAATGCGGTTATTGATCAATAGCATGAGTGAACTAGATAAAGTACAATTAACTAAATGGACATGAATCAATACTATCCACTACGGGCACAATGTTGGTTATGTACTTTTACGATTTTTGTCCAGTCGAGCTTTCAATTTTTGCATAATAATTACTGCAACATGACGAACGGTTGGAGATTGTCACGGTTAATGAAAGAGTAGTTGCAAACGCACCAGAAGTGATT